TCTCCTCTACTGCATGAAGAATTTGTTGGAGTCTGGAGGAAACAGCGGCTCCACCAGGGCTGGAGCCCCGTGCGGGCCTGGCAGCCAGTCTTACAGACACACATGGCTAGTCCTCCCTCCCCCGGTATTCGTGGCTTGTCACAGTTCGGATGGGTGTCACAGCCACCGCTCGGTCGCTGGCTCAAGTACAGCTTAGCAAACATCCTGGGGTGGAATGGGTAGCCATTCACACCCTTCCCTTTGGTTATCAGGCTGCTGGAGCAATGGATCCCACAAAATTGAAATGTCCCCAGAAATCAAGGTGGGGGGGGCCTTAGCTCCAGCTGGAGGTTTCACAGTTATGACTGAAGCCCAGACAGTGGTGAGGGGCGGGGCCACACCTTGGCCAGGATGGCTTAGCTAAGCATATGTGTGTCCACCATTGAAAGCTAAACCTCATGTTAGGACCCTGAACATGGACACAGAGGACGCTCACTGGACATCTTTTTCTGATTTCCATTATCAATCATGTCAATAACTGGACTACAGAGGAGGGATGGCAAGCCTGGCTTGTTGCCAGCAGAGGCTTTCAGGGTCTAGGTTCTGACCCTAAACACAGTAACTTCCCCAACACCTTGGCCAGAGTGGCCGACTTCAACATCAGCGCGTGCTTTATCTCTGAGAAGCCTATCAGTGAAAACATCGACAGGAAATACACCAGGAATGGGCTCTACCTACAGTGTCCCCATCCCCGTGCCCTCTCCAGAGATTTGCTATGTAGCCCCAGCTGCCCTGGAACTCACTATGTAGACCAGGCTGGCCTGGAACTCACTATGTAGATCAGACTCACAGAGATCTGCCTACCTGCACCCCTGTCTCTCAAGTGCTGGGATTAAAGGAGTGTGCCCCTACAACTGGCTTATGTTGTCTTTTTCTTTTTCTTTTTTTCCCCGGAGCTGAGGACTGAACCCAGGGCCTTGCGCTTGCTAGGCAAGTGCTCTACCACAGAGCTAAATTCCCAGCCCCTACAACTGGCTTTCATTGTCTTTTTCTACAAAGATTTTTTTTTGACAAAGCCCACTTACCTTTCCCTTGTCCCTTTTCGGAGGAGGGACAGTCTTAAGAGTGAGCTTCTGCTCTTGACTACTGGTGTCCTAGATGGCACCTAGGGGTCTGGATCTCTATACCTGAGCAGCTCCGGTCCATTCCATTCAGCTCTACCCATTCCAAGCAGCAAGCAGTCCCCATGGGAGCAGCTGTGGCCAAGCCCTATCATCCTGATCCAGCAGCCCCACATCACATTTATAAGCAATGTCTGCCCTTGAGAAGGGCAGGTGAAAAGAGCCCTTCAGAACGCCTGCAGCCCCTGGAGTGACATGGACTCCTTCCCAGAACCCCTGCTCTTCTGAGAGTCCCACCTGGCCACCCAAGGTCATCCTTCAACCTCTCCCACCTCCATGACAGCACACAGCATGTCCTGCCTCCATTTTTTCTCTCCCCACTTCTAATCCTTTTTTGTCTCTCTCTCCTCAACCCCCTCTTCACCTGTTTGGCTCCTGGCTGTCTTCCATCCTCCTGCTCCTTTCGTCTTCCTAGATACAACCTACTCACTCCTCAATAACTACTTCGTAAGCACCTGAACACAGCTATGAAGGAAGCAAGCATGGGCCATCTTAAGAATGCTCCATGCCGGGGGAACAAGGGCAAAGGCCTGGGGTAGGAGTCGGTCTGTGAGCTGGAGAGACAGGCAAACCAGGTTTCCCTTTGGAGAAACCTTCCTGTGACTCTACCTTACCCTGAGCTGCAAAGTCCCCAACTCTGAGTCCTCTGGGTACCCTGGAACTATTGAGGGCTAAAGTTATATTTTGAGTTTAAACTTCTGTGCTTATGAGAACTATAAAACAAAAGGCCTCTAACCCGTGAGCCCCACCTGCCCAAGGACAGAGAACTTCCTGGAATGCTGGCAACTGTTGTTCCTGTAAGATAACAAGCCACGCGTTTTCACTTCTATGAACAAGGTTGGTTGCCCAAAACTGCACAGGATGTACTTGATCACATGTAGGTGGGAGGTACATAGGCAGGAAGTACATCAGGATGTATTCTTGCCCTTGATTGGACGAAGGCAGGAAGTATGTAGTCTTGTGGACTTTTGCCTTTATACCTGACCAACGTAACTTGTGGTCATTCTCTGGGAATCTCAGATAAGGTCTTGGCTAGTGTCCATCATCCTGGCCAGCATTTAAGAAAGCTTGCTTCAAATTTGACTCAAAAACTATGGTAGCGGTCTTCTTATTCTCGTCCAGTGGGATTAACAGAACCTCATCATACCGTGATGCCCACTCCACCAAAATCCCTAGAGACAGGAATTGTGCCTTGTTTTGACATCTTCAAGCCCAGTGTGGGGCAAATCCTTTTTTCTATAAGATAGATTCTATTGTATTGTTAAATCAAATATTTTGTCTAACGCCACCTCCATAAAGTTTTGTTCAAAGACTTCTCTGTAAATAGTAAACTAAAGCTTAACTTGACGCATAAATAAAACATATCTACAAAAAATAGTCATCCACCCAACAAGTTACAGAGCCCACCTAGATGCTCATCAATAGAGGAGTGGCAGGTATGCACAATGGAGAATTATTCAGTAATAAAGGACGTTACTCATCTGCAGGAAAATTGACAGAATTGGAGGTTATCCTGTTAAATGAAAGGACAGAGACACAAAGATAAATATCATGTTTTCTCTTGTATGTGAAATCTATCTATCCATCTACCCATCTGTCCATCAGTACTCGCCTATAATTATCCATATTACATGAAAGGAGAAGGCATTATTGAGACAAGATATAGGACCAGTAGAGGTGGGGAGGAGAAACAGAATGGGTAATGAGTGGTGAATATGAGCAGAGAGTGTGATACACGCATATAAAAATGTCATAGTGAGAGCCGGCAAGATGGTTCAGTGAGTGAGCCATCCTGGCGCTTGCCACCAAACCCGACGACCTGAGTTCAAACCCCAGGACCCACATGGTAGAAGGAAAGAACTGACTCCCACACACATTGTCTTCTGACCTCCACACACACACCACACACATACACACATACCACACCCCCCCACACACACACACACAGTGTGGCTTGTGCAGGTCTCCACATTCCCACAAAATAAATAAATAAGGAAATAAATAAGTGTCCTGATGAAATTCACCACTTTGCACAGTGAATACAATAGTGAAAAAGTAAAGAAGCAGGAAGCCAGAAAACACTGCCTATGTGAATACTTGGGCTGAAGGGCTGGGCTTTTGGTTGGTTGGGTTTTTTTGTTTTGTTTGTTTTGTTTTGAATAATCCAGTACTCGGGCCATCACAAGCTCCCTACTGTTCAAACCAGGTGCTCACAACACGATGAATTCTAGCCAGCCAGGCCTCTCTCTCTCTCTCCACACCACTTCCTTTCCTCTGGCTATAAATACAACCTGTCCCTGAGAGGGTGGGGCATCCGGAATCACTTTTGGTCTGGAGTGTAGCCTGACTCCAGTCACCACCACAGTGAAGGCCTATGGCAAGCCACTAAACTAGGCTTGTCTCTTTCCCCTATAGCAACATGCCCCTTGCAGATGAGAACAGTGGGAGATGTGAGGACCAGGAGCTGGCTCCCCCTCGATGACTCCAATGTCAAGGCCAAATACCTTCCTGAGGGGAGTGCTCAGGGAATGGAGGAAGAGGCCTGGAGGATGCGGGAGGGAGGAGAAAGGGCTCCATGTATGAGCCAGCAATCATGTGGCATCTTTCCCTGGACTGTTTGGGTTGTGTCCTCGGTGGCCGGCACACAGAAGTTAAGAGGGTGTTAACTAGATGTGGATGAACCCTTTCCCCAAAGGGGAATGTTTCCTGTGGTTTGGATTAAAAAGAAACCCAGGGGCGGAGGTGGTGGTTCATCCATACAAACATGTAAGCGTATAGACCTGAGCTTGCTCCCGAGAACCCATGTAAAGAAAACCAAACAAAAGACCGGCAGCGGGTGTGTGCCTGCCATCCCGGCACTGGAGAGACAAGGGTCTTGCAAAACGGCCAGTGTATTCAGTCAGTGAGTTCCAGGTTCAGTGAGAGCCCCTGCCTCCCCAAATGAGTTGAAGACATGATAGAGTAAGGCATCTGAGGTAAACCTCTGACCTCCACATGCATACACATATATGTGCATATGTGCCTGTACATATGTATGTATATATACATATATACATACACACAAGCATGTACATACACATACACACCTGAGAAAGTTGGACAAGCCTTCAGGCAAATACAAGCACGAGCCGTAACCCACCCTGCTCATAACCCTGCCTACCCTGGCTTTGTTCATTTCAGGAATGACCATCTGAGTACCCTTACTTCAGACATGACCTGCCTCAGGAACATCTCCAGCCCTGGTCTGACAAAGACTCACAGAAAGGATCCTGAAGCCCTAGGAGCTTCCTCTGGCAGAAACTGTGCCTACCCTTTCTCGGGCCTCTCTTGGGGTCTTCAGACCCCACCTGCCCAGATTCTCTCTCCCCAGCCCGTGGCCCCTCCCTGTCTGGGGATCTTCTCTCCCCATAACTGACCTCTTTGGCCTGGTCTCAGCTCCTGCTCCCAGGACCTGTGCCCATGAGCAGTCACAGTAGTCAGAGTCTGGATCCCCAAGTTTATGGCCTGCAGCCCAGGCGTTAGGGCCAACACGACATGCTGTGAAATAAGAGGGACAGACTCTGGGAGGTTGTTTGTGGGAGCCCACAGTGAACACTGGCCTGTAAGCACCCTGCTCAGCCCCCAGCAGCCTTCGTGATGGCAGAAAATCCAGCAAAAGCAGAGGCGGGCACCTCACTGGCCCTTCTGCCACAGGGCCCTGGATAGATACCCAGCACATTCCAGCGGGGAGGGGAGTGGCCAGGTTATCCAGGTCACTGCCTTATCCTTGTCACAAGCCTTTGCTAATCCCTTCAGTCCTGACTAACCCCCATGAGCTTGCACTGGAACTTTCTTAATTACCTGAGAGACTGCTAAGTGCCTTGACTGTCTGAGGACCCGGTGCCGTGATATGGTCCTGGCCAGGAGCGTGAGGATGGCTCCCAGGACCGTGGAGGAGAAATAGATGATGCTGCAGCCACTGGTGAGGCAAGAGTGGCTCTGGATGCTGGGCCTGAGTCCAAAAAGCAAAGGCAGAGAAGCATCAGTTTCAGTTTCGATTGCTCCGAAATTCTTTTCTGTTTAACAAGGGGAAACCCTTGTGGGAGCCTTTGGCTAGGGCTCAGATTCACAAGGGAGAGCCATGGCCCCTGGGGAACCCGGGAGTTCAGTCCTGGACACTGAACACAGCAGGCATGTCACCAAAAACATCAGCCAAGTGAGTGACAGATAAACTTAGAATGAGAGAGGGAGCTGGCAGCCACTCCTTGCCCAGCCAAAACAACAAGGAAAAGGAAGGACAGACAGACAGACAAATGAGCAAACAGAATGCTGGGTCTTCAAGGAGCCACATCTCTCCCCAAGTTTCATTTTGAAAAATTTGAAATCTGCTGTAAGTTATGAGATTTATCCATAGAGCCTTAATTATTAATATTTACTCTTCTCTCTCTCTCTCTCTCTCTCTCTCTCTCTCTCTCTCTCTCTCT